GCGTCAGCATGCAGCAGGCGCCATAAAAGGAAGAGGAAGGGAGATCACTCCGTGGCTCTGTCATCGAGATATAGATTACGTCACGGTAGGGAGGTAGGGATATTTGAATCTTTTGTTTTTGGGCTACAAAGATGGGTGTAGGTATTGTATATGCATACTAAAGTTATGGTAATTATTACTGAAATGAAAACAGTTATTATAAGACTGTGCGACGTACACCTGAAAGTAGATACATATGTATAATGCTAATTATACTAATTAGAATACATGTACATAGTACCTAATTTCCTACGAATTTCCAGGTTATTTCATTCTGTAATATTCATAACAAATTTTAGCAAATCGCTTATGAGTATGGGCAGGAAAGAACGAAGGCGAACGATGTTGGAAGTGCTTGATTGTGCAGACGGTGTTTGAAAGCTATTTGTGGTACATTGTGTGATCACACAACTGTATTAAAGTCTTTCCCAGATCGTTGTGATTTAGATACTTCCCCAGATTCGACTGGAGATACCATGTCTCGCGCTACATCTATTCAGTTGCCGCTCTGATAGTTACATGTATATCGGTTTCACGTAGGCCTATATAAAGAGTTGCATTTTAAATATTTAAACCATATTTAAAAACCACATCACTTGGTTTATGAATATAAACAGCAAACACTTGTTATGTTTTTTTATTGTTTTCTTCTAACAATTTCTGTACTGCATATAAATAATAAACCTTTCAAATCGATTGGCCTAACAACCTCCGTACTGCTTATGAGTAATAAACCTTTCAAATCATTCGGCTAAGTACAACACCTCATAGTTTCAATATCGTATAAATGGTGCCTTTATGTACCATATGTCGACACTCTTCTGTATACCGGGACATTTTAACAATGGTTTACAGTGTATCTGTGTCCTATTACGTCCTCCATTATGAGGACGAATTTATCCTAGCAGCTTATACCCACATATTTATAGCCTTAACATGTGGAAGGGGAATTTAACACTAGGCAAATATTGAGTTTACAGGTGAAGGGCGAAAATCTCAAGTTATCCAGTAATTAAAAGAATTTGGTGTGAATTTGAGTAATACTTAAGCTGTATGTTATCAAACTGACCGAAACAAAATAGCACATATTTTATCAACACTGTATACTATTTTGTGTCTAAATCTACGAGCTACACTAACAGTAATATACCGATATATCACACATTATACAGTGTGACAGAACTACACTAACAGTAATATACCGATATATCACACATGATACAGTGTGATTGAGCTACACTAACAGTAATATACCGATGTATCACACATGATACAGTGTGATTGAGCTACACTAACAATAATATACCGATGTATCACACATGATACAGTGTGATAGAACTACACTAACAGTAATATACCGATATATCACACATGATACAGTGTGATAGAACTATACTAACAGTAGTATACCGATGAATCACACTTGATACAGTGTAATAGAGCTACAATAACAGTAACATACCGATGTATTACACATGATACAGTGTGATTGATCTACACTAACAATAATATACCGATGTATAACACATGATACAGTGTGATTGCGCTACACTAACAATAATATGCCGATGTATCACACATGATACAGTGTGATTGATCTACACTAACAATAATATACCGATGTATAACACATGATACAGTGTGATAGAACTATACTAACAGTAATATACCGATGAATCACACTTTATACAGTGTAATAGAGCTACAATAACAGTAATATACCGATGTATCACACAAGATACAGTGTGATAGAACTATACTAACAGTAATATACCGATGTATCACACATTATACAGTGTAATAGAGCTACAATAACTGTAATATACCGATGAATCACACTTGA